AAAATTTATGTTATCTCTAATCTATCAACACATGTTCACTGGATCCAATGGCCTTCGACCCGGATAAAATAACTCAAGTAATTTTCACCGTAAAAGTAAAATTAAAAAATGCAATTGCATATAGATTGATGGAAACTTTTAAAATAGGTATTTGAAAAATACAAAATATTCACTCTTATTTTTACGTATTTTGTTTTTACATTGTCGAATATAGAATATTTTTTATCTACTATAATTTTTGTGATATGGCACAATAACATTTTCCCAATACCATTTGTGCAGTTTGGAGGTTAACGAGGGAGTTTAACAAAAATTTATACGTATACAATATAAACTAATCAAGAACTTATTTCCAAAATCCATATATATTTAGATTTTAAACGCTACAAGCAAAGAAAATGTACATTTATATGTATAGGAATTCTGAGCTTTGCTATTATTAGTCAATATAAGGCATTTTTTTTAAATTTGGTACGTTATTTGACTCTCATACTCGTGTAGCAACATAACTTTTAGTGATTTAATTTCACTTATTTATTGGATTCCCAATCTCGCAAGCTTATTTTTTTTTGTTTTTTAACAATTACTAAATATTCTTTGATCCTTAAAAGTTAATTTACGAAGGTATACATAAACATATATTTAATAAAATACGCACTCATTTAAAGCAGTACTAAAAATATGTATAAATTTTTTATAGAATTGAATTCAGCAGTAAAATCTTGAAATTTTTTATTTCCTGACAAAAAAAAACATATCAAGTACTGCAAAGGCTTTTTTTTATGTAAATGCTATCATTTTGGAGAAGAATTGTTAAGAGATTTTTTACAGTTTCTGCAAGGGCTGCTATAATTCGGAACATAAACAATCGAATCCTTGGAGAACGTTTGGCAGGCGTAAATTGGAGTGGGTCGAATGGGTTGGCTGTTTTTATTTTTGTCTTGATCGGCTGGGTTCATGTTGCTTTTTTTTTAAATTTAATTTCCGTGGTTGGATAGAGTTGGTTTGCTGTTGAAAAAAAGTGAACCAATTTTTTAAATTACAAGTAATTGCGCATTAATATCCATATCAACATGACAGTGCAATCATTCTGATACTGGATCATTTAGCATTTGTTTTGAAAACTATAGTTTGAAAAAAATTAAATAATCAAAATCAATGTTTTTCTCATTTTAAAAAGATTTAATAGTACCTTGAAAACAAGTCTTGTGAGTCTAGTGAAAAAATTTTCTCCCAATCCCTCGATTTGTTTTCAATAGAAATGAAAAAACATTTTATTTGTTTTTTTATGTGAAGGTAAAATAAAAGGACAAGCTGCTCGTTCAAAAAAAAAAAAAGCTCCTTAAAAAATTTACAACTGCATTTTGTTTCAATTCATAATTTCCAGAGAAATCAGCGCTACAGCTTTTGAGAAATCAAGTCATTGCGTAATATTAAGCGGTGCGATAGCGTCACGCTGGCAAGTATCAAATTACATTTATACCGTGTCTTTATTTGCTGAATCAGAGATTTGTTGAACAAACTATTGTAGCATGTCTGCACAGCGTGACTAAACCACGATATTTGTGTACTAATTATGTTTCAAATTAATATTTTTTAATTAATTAATAATAATTTTTTACGTGATTTAGCAAACTAGGAAAAATATTTTACTAATAATTATCGGGATGGACTGCACACCGTAATAATCCTCACAATCGCTCAAAAAGCGTATGGTACATAATTTATTCGTGCTATGAAATTATAGGTCTTACATTTAGTTTTAAATCTTTTTGAAATTGATTCTCTCCTGTACAGGAGCTTTCTTTAAGAGATTTTTTTTTTTTTCGCGAAACAAGTGGATACAATACCTTTCTACCTTCGATTCAAAAATCGACAGCTTTTTACAAGATGTCCTGTAACTTGTAAATTTTGACAATAATTTAGTTACCTTAAAGTGCTTTTTCTGTCTTTGCCAGGATAATCTATATCTTGATAATTCGATGGGTTTTCAAGGTCTAACGCACTGAGAAGTGTCAATTGCGATGGTAGCTCAGTCGACTCTGAACTCGAGGAACAATTCTACTGTATACATGTAGATTAAGTATGTACTAAAAAAATGTTCCTTTACTTTTGAGAGCAAGCGCGCTCGTTAATATTAAACTGTATTAATGCATCGTTATCACCTGCTGTTCAAACCTCGACAAAATCGAAAAACAAAATTTTTCTTTGCCCAGCCAACCCTCAAAAAAAAAAAAAAGAAAACAATCGTTGCCCAACTGCAACGTTATTTTATACATCTTATAAAATTAACACTAACATCGCCAAGTTAAATTGTTAAAATTCCCATCCAACATATACTGATGGAAAAAGATTTTTAGTTACAATATTTTTCAATTACCTGTGAATGAAAATGGCACAATTATTCGTTGCAGCCTAAAAATCAGTTCTTTTTTTAACCCATAAAATCATGGAATGTATAATAATATACAATAGACGTTTATATTTTAATATCCAAAACTTGATAGTTTATCGATTTTTTTTACGTGGTCACTTGGGCCATTTATTTTTAGAATCCATTACAATGTAATGAGCCATTGGAGCATACCAATAATTTTATCAGCTCCTTAAATATTTTTAAAAACATCTATTTTAGTGGTACGTGATCAGGAAGCGTTAAAATTTTGTCATAGATTGTATATGCTTATCATTTTTTAAATATGTAATTTTTTTTTAAATGTGTAAAACGAGTGATTATTGTTGAAATTCGACAAAAAAACGGATGAGGGCAAATGTAATTTCTTAACTTTCAATTACATTTAATGTATCACACTATACTAATTGTTAATATATATCAGAAGTATAAATAACGAAGCAATTCGTTCTTTATATAGTAATAATATGTTAGATAAATGAATATGGTTTTTATATATACATATTTTAGTTTGTAATTTACCTCTACAGGACTACAATTTCAATATTGCTTGCTGCTGTTTTATGCGCCAACTGTACATAATAATCTGGTTTAAATAAATAAAACTAAAGTGGAGATCGATACAACGCCAAAGTGTTTTTTATAATTTGATTTTTTTGATCTCAAACCCTGATGTTGATTAAATTTTTATTTTGCAATGTTTGTGCTCTCCAAAAAAATTTTGTCAGTTTACCCTTTTTTTCTACAAAAAGAGTAATAATTAAAATATCACTTTACGCCCAAAGGGTGCGATTGTTGTATGTTTGTGCCCTAGTGTCCCCTTTAATTCCCTCCAGTAGCTTAACATTGTATTATCTGAGGAATTAAACACATTCCAAGAATTTCATAGCAAATAAAAGTAAAAAAAAAAAACATTAATTTTTAGTGTTTTTAACAATCATAAAAGAAATATACATTCCAATGATTAAGAGAATTTTTTAAATTACTCTAACCATTGGCACGAATTTTTCCTGTGTAACCAATAAAATAATGTTGTAGCCAGTGGGGATGATGAATTTTTAAAAATAAATTATTAAATTTTTATCACCACTTTTGCGCTTCTAAAAATTTTGCCAAAACAGTATCATCTGCATATTAATGAAAATTATTTTTTTACACAACTAATACACTACTATCGCTAGATTAGCATTAGAGGCGATTATATACTGATTATGGAGCCTTTAGAAATCGACGAATGCGCTCGACTGCTCTGCATAAGCTTTTCACCCACAAAGTGAAACATCAATACAAATTACAGTATTGATCTCATTAAAAATCTGAAAATACAATTTCAGTTTTCATTAAAATTTCCAAGACCCTCGTACCTTATGTATTCCAAAAATTGGCTAAAAAAACAATTTCAAGTAATACGTCATTTCTAGGTATGGTCCATGAATCGGTAGTGGAAGTGTTTGGACAACAAAAATATGTAAACAATAAACATGCATTCCGACGTTCGTGTGCCCTCAAAGTACTTGTACAACTTTCTACCTTAAACAAACAAAGCGAACTTTAAAATGTAAGGGTTGATGCCCAAGTAAGGCTCAGTGCAGTTTTCGTTGACGTCAAGTGCATATATCAGTGCTTCACGATCCAATCAATTTCAAAATAGACAATGTCACTGGTCAGTATTAACTGATTTTCCAACATGCATGAGTTTTTTTTTTTTTTTTATACTTATCAAACTGTTTTTGAGATAGAATTATTGCCAGCAGTATTTGATTATTAAATTTTTGAATAGTTATTTTATAAATTTAAAAAAAGTCGTATCTATTATAAATAGGGATAAAAGTGTGGGGTATATTACACATATTGTGTATACATGTGACCTAATTCATTGATAATTTAGTCGATATATTGCAAAAAAAGCGTTATTTGGATGACACTAACGTGCAGCAAATAAAAAGTTTTACTTGTGATATTAGCAGACGTTTACACTTTACACTATGAAAAATAAAATATTCGAGATCCCAAATAAAGTACCTATGCCTATGTTGATATTCTAAAACACTTTGGGTAAATGTACATAACCTTTTTCGCCAAATTCATCTATAAAAACTGTAATATACGCGCTAGTGAATACATACACATTTTGTCACATGTATTTCGGATATGTGTTGAGTAGGTTGGTGATGAAATATTTTTTTAGTAATTAAAAAATATGCAATGTCGCGGACTGTGCGATATATGTTGTCAGTTATATACAAGAGGTTATGTTACGTCAACCTCAGTCTTATTAATGTACTTATAAGTAGGTGATACGAGAAAAATATATATCGTATATAATAATTATGTATCATACAAGTAATAATAATAATATAATCTCGTACCTCATTGTATAACTGCTCGAAATAAAAGTTGGAACACCTTAATGATTTTGCCACAGTTCCTTCATCCGCTGAAACTTTCAGGTGCGAATACCTTTTGCTAGTAAACAATTAATTGTTTTCAACACTTTTTCGAGAGAAAAAAAAAACGATGCTGCAGCTATACAAACTTTTGCCCGTTAAATTCACAGCGAAAAACAAATCACGTGAATCTACGCTGCATGGACTCGGTGAAGTTCGTCGTGCCCACGAGGACGGCTGTAATGTCACCGATAATCGAAACGATCGTCAACTCATGGAAGATAATAACAAATGGCCCGCGAGACGCGGCTGAAAGGGAAATCTATTTGTCGGAGATCAGAGGACCCGTCATGCGCATCGTCCTCGACTGGTGCGCCCGTCACGCGAATGTGGTTACCGCAGATGAGACATCATCGGTTCCAGATCCCGGGACTGGGCTTTTCGACGTTTCCGATTGGGATAGTGCGTTTTTGAAGGTAAATTTAATCACCAAAATCATTTGGCATATAAGTACACACTCCTTTCAAGTTTACCAGGAAAAATTATATTGTTAGTAGTTAAAAGTGACGTCAAATATACATATATTTTTACAGGCTCATGAAGATTATCTCGTCGATCTCAAGACAGCCGCAGCTGTTCTTCAACTCGACGGACTCGAGAAGGCAGTGTTGAAAGTATTTTTTAACATTCACTGGGAATGGAGTAACAAGTAGATCAAGCCATGGGATCAGATAGATGTGCAATACACTTTTCTGAACTAATGCAGTATTATTTTTTTACCACATTGCACAATATGACGTGTGATTTTATAATCAAGAAACCAAATATTATTTTTTTTACTGTACTTTTCTGTGGCATAATAACTGATGCCTTTTATTTTATATACTTGACGATTAAACGTATATTTCTTTATGGATCCATTCGAACGACTGTTTTATTGATTTGAAACTAAATTAGCTACTTTTCATTACAAAAAAATTGAATTCACTCCTGAGTTGTAGGTACACCCAAGCGGACATTAAGTTAGTAAATAATTAATTAATGTAATGATAAGTAGTAAAACCTGATAATAGGAAATAACAAAGTCCAGACGTTTGAGATAATGTATTTACAAATGTATTTATAAGAAAGATAAATATTTTCATAGCCTCAAATATGGACTAACAAACAATTAAATAATTAAAAAACTGCATTATAGCTCGGGGTATCTAAAATCCTTTACCTTTTTGTATGGTAAGTAGGTAATTTTTTGGTGAAATGTGTTAAGTACAGGGGAAATCGGTGTTTACCTGAAAGCACCAAGAGTAACTCTTACACGCACCTCCTCACGTTGTAAAGGCAGATGAGTAACAGCTAATTTATCAGAGGAATCAACAGCGAAGGCGAATGGCGAGTCTCGGAGACAATATGCCGAAGTCACCTTTTGATAACTACAATCATTTTATCAAACAACTTTTCTTTTTCTTTTTATTCTTTCTATTTACGTACAACATAAAGTTTTGAGCAGAAAAAAAGTCTGTGGTAACAAATTAAGTACAATAAATGTTTCAGGTGATTAAATTTTTACTTTCCAACAGAAGTTTTTGTTTTAAAAAAATTTAATTTAATTTCTAATTTTTATCTTTAGTACATTAATTAAGGGTAGTTCTTTGAATTCAACTCTCAAGGCATCTTTGACGCTCATACACGTGCTCACGTTAAAATTAAACGTTATACTCATATGTTTTCATGCAGGATGCCCTAACATGAAAAAAAAAAAAAAATTCGAGCCATTAGCAGTGTATTCCATCAAATACACCGAAAATATGTGTCAAGATCTTTCAAGTTATTATGAATAAAAGTTGAAAACTATAATATGCAACTTTGGAAGTAAAGATGGTGGAGGGAGAAAAATATTTCCAACAATAATATAACAACAAATAAAATAATGGTATAGGCCGCTTCGTAGAACAACTTTGGCGAAAATACTGTCCAAATGCTTATGTGATACCTGTTGATAATCATTACAATCATGTAAAAAACCATCGGCACCAATCTCCAAAACGCATACTGTTTACACAGTAATACTATGATCTTTGGAGAGCTGAAAAGAAAAACATTCATCGACTCTTATTTTCGTTTTCACATTTTAAGATTTTTTTCACAATTTTGTTTATCAAAATGAGCTTACGTGTGAAGATTTTCGGAGCAGTGGTTGAAGAGGAACCAAAACAAGCCCAAAATCGGGGCAGAATACGTGTTGATGATCAAAAAAGTGCCGGTAATCAACGGCCAGTAAGACTCGAGCCCTATGTAACCAGCTTTGAGATCAACGGAGGATAAGCTGTTTGAATTACCCTGGGATTAAACGAAACCAAATCACAAATTGAAAGAAAAGTTTAATTAAAAGAAACAAAAAATAAATTTATTACCTGGTAAAAAAAGAATACATTGCCGGACCATATGTACAATAGCACTTTGAGGCCACGGTTTTCTTTCGTACGAGTATAATTGCCTATCGCCTCGTCAACTAAAACTTGAACGGGCAATAATACAACATTGTGAGGACGATGCAAAAGTGCGGAGACGATGATCCATTTTTTTAATATTAAGTACAAAATAAGCCGGTACAAATACACCTTGTTTTCCCGTGTGGCAATTATCAATCGACGTATGCTAATGGCCATGTAAACCATAGTTAATATCCAAAAAAGCCGGACCTCCGTTATCCCTCTGAATAAAATCGACATCAGTTATACAGAAAATTGGTCAACTATCTTTTTTTTTTCTTGATCCGCTTACCTCGATTCTGGATAAAAGAATGGCTGTACAACCAAATTGGCCGCGCTGTGCCTTAAATAAATCAAAATGCTCACAAGTACATTAAAAACGAGCGACGTCCACTGGTGGTTTTCTTCCTCGTACTTGTAATCCATAAATACAAGTGAACCCAGACCTGATTGAAAGATTTATTGACCGGTGAGTTTGAAAAATTTCCAAACCAACATAAGAAGCAAAAAGGTGTATACTTACTAAAAACCAAGAGCAAGGACAAAGCGATTTTCGTTGGCTCTTCGTACAGCCAATCCGATATATCATAGGCTCTGCGGTTCTGATAACCAGTGCTGTTCCACATGGTAAGTACTCGACAAACAACCATAAACATCAACCAAACAACGGGAAACTTCAACGAGCTATTTCTGGCACTTTTTCGCAATGCCTCGTAACCAGTGTACGCCAGAACCGACGAGCAGTAAAAGTACCATATTTGATGCTCCTCCTCCACGTAGCTGCTACTTCCCAAGTTCACGGCATGGGCTAGTGTGGCTATTGGCAATATGACGTGTAAATCCGTTAAACTCTGAAAAAATCAATTGATTTTAGAAAATTTTTTTAAACTTTCTACGTTTCGAGGTACTGCTACCACCTTATTTTTATAAAGTAACATTATCTGTTCAATCGGCACAGTGGCATTTACAAATAATAAACTACTGACTAGTAAAACTACTACGAAAAATACGGCAAAAATAAGCGTATAAACGTCGTTTGCTCGAGGCAACCAGTTGGTTTGTGCATTGAAGTCGAGATATGACCAGAAACACAGCCACAATGAAAATATCGTACAAGCGAATACGAGGAACTTATGAAATGACCACTTCAGAGGTCCATGTTTGTTCATCAACACGTTCAAACACAGTATCTGAAACGAAATTTCCTTCAGCCCAACATGTCGTAGGATAACAAGAGAATCACGTCAAATAATAAACTTACCATGATCATGATTGTCAAAGCTGCACTTGTAATGAAATTGTTGTACCTGAATAAGTTACTCGTCAAATAGTTTTGCATTTCTGCAATGGAAGATTTGTACATTGAAATCATCTCGTCAGCCGAATCACTATGATTGTGCAACCACTGCGCGTAAAGCTTCGTAGCCGTTTGGTAATTTTTATAAGCCTCTGCTCAAACAAGTTGTCAGTAAAAACATCATTTTGTCGTTAACATTGCGCTATCGTAAATATACATTTTTTTTTTTTTCACCCACCGCTACTTTTATAAACATTACTTTTCGAAAAATGATACAGCAATTGTTTAGCATTGTAATGTAGAGCATACAGCTTTTGAGAGACAGTAAAATTACTCATCAGGTTCAATATGATCGCACCTGTACTCGAAAAAGGTATAGGAACTCCCAAGAGCACGGACAATGTCGGTGCGATATCTATTTGAGCTATTTGTTCGTCGGCATAGTTATTCTTGTAAGTACAGGGTGTGCCGAAAACTAACAAAGGTACGAGAGTTTCTTCTGAAGTCGAGCCACCGTGACTACCCGTATCCATCATTCCGTGATCGCCCGTGATTAAAAACAACGTTGACTTTCCTTCTTTGTTCTTCAACAGAATGTACGATTAATATTGTTTCATTGGAGCATCATTTGTGGTACAAAAGTGCAGAGCTTGATTTACCCATTCTTTCACGCGATTTCGAATAGTTGCTATTGATTCGTCCATTTCTAACAATTTATCCTTTATCAATGGACTGTATGGTCCCTCCAAGTGACCGATGTGGTCTAGACCCGAATAGTGCAAGATCATCATTGACCAATCTGACTCGTGGATTTCCCTCACCATGTGAGCAGTGACATTGAGATCAGCCTTTTTTTAATAAAAAAAAAGAAATACAATAACTACGGTATGATTTGTTTCGTTTTTAGGCAAATTTCCAACTGTTCTCACCTCAATGTATTCAGACACCATGAATGTTTCAGTTTGCTCATGTCTGTCAAACATGTCTGGGAAAAGCAGTGTCCACGTCAAGTCGCCATAAAAGATTATTTTGTATCCGTGGTCCTTGATTTGCCTCAAAACACTGTCACCTTGTATTTCTGGTGCTCCCAAGTTTAAAATTACATCTATAAAGTTAGGAACTGTCCCTGTTGCAATAGCCTGAAAAATTATATGTGAGGTGCACATTGCAGAGATGCAATGGTTTTTTTTTTTTTTTTTTTTTTTTTCCATTACCTTAACCCTAGGCAATGTAACAGTTGGAGGATGAACTTTAGTTTTGTACAGACAGCCATCTCCATTATCTAAAAAACTACTTGTGTGGGGCATATTAACATGACTATTTGGTCCGTGCACAAAATCCCATCTCATCGCATCGATTACCATTAAAACTACCCTTTGAACTTCTGGCTTGTAAACTTTGTCTCTGTTGACGCTAGAAATCATTTTTTTTACTTTAGGATCTTTAATTTAATTATTTTCCAAAAGAGTACATAAAATACTCATACTTGATACTATCAATGGATGATGGAATGTCATCCACAGTGGCAATCGTTTCTTCATTGTAATTGATTGGAAAAAATCCATAGAGGAAGTATAAAATAGTGATTATCGAAGTGACAAGGTAAAAATTGAAAAGAATATAGTTTCTGCGAACGGTGACTCCATAGTGCATAACTTTTGGTTGACCTACAAAAAACAGTGTATATTTTAATTAAAAAAGTACAAAAATTGAATTTTTGAGTGATACATTTGTGATGAACATAAAATTTTTTATCAAAAAATGAAACTTTAATCTCTCTCTTACCTGAATTGAAGATGCCATTCATTTGAAATTGTTACTTTTTATCACAACCCCAGCAGAAATTTGAAAACGTAACAAAATGTAAAAAAAAGTAAACACGTGTAATAATATGCCGTAACCCGCAAGAAAATGTAAGAAAATGTAAGGAACTGTAATAGACTCATATGGATTTCGGACGTTTCTTACATTATGTTGTGTTAGGTTTTCTTACATTTTCTTTACGTTTTGATATGATTTACTAGATACTATGACACTAATAATTTTTCATAATAATTACTCAACTTTTTTTCATTTGAGGCAAATTTTATTCGAAAATGTAAAGAAATGTGTCTTAAAGTTATTAACGATAACAAAATATAAAAAAGTGTAATAAACTGCAAAAAACTGTAAGCTGTTATGAAATATTACAGATAACAACACTTCCTTACAGTTTATTAGAGTTTATTACAGTTGCTTTTTCACAAGATTCAAGTGTCTTTTTAGAATTATAATAAAATTTAATCAGTCGTAATATAATATATTGTAGTAGACTATAGTTAAACATAACAAAACCTAACAAACTGTAACTGTGGTCCGAAATCCAACTAAACTTTACATTACATCACAGAAAGTTACGGTTTGCTACGTTTTTTTACATTAATTTTTTCCGTTGGGGAACAAATAAACATACACTGTGAACACTATACTGCAACGAGCTAACAAAAGTAATAGACAAATTCGGTGAAACCTTCAGTACTACTAGGAAAAAAAAAAAAATAGAACAAGAGATAAGTGTATATTATACTCACAGGTGATAAAAAAATTCCATTTTACTGCGCCCGTCTTTTAGAGATAAGAAATACAAGACAATTACGACTATGATAGAACATTGTTCCCGTACGAAATTTTGAGCGCATGATGTGAAAAAAAGTAAGGTCAAGTTTTCAATCAATGGTGAAGACAAATTTTTTGAACTGATTATAATTGCTTTTATTGTTAAAAAAAAACGTCTAAATGACATTTTGTTTTGGGTAACTTTGCACAACATGCTTAATTTGTACTATATATGCATATAAAAAGAATGATAAAATCAATAACGCAAATTAATTGGAAGAAAAACAATTATTTTCAACGCAAGGTTTACTTTACGACATGTTTTCCTCGAGTGTTTTTAGAATTAAATAAATTTTGTTTATAAAAATATGTTATTACAACAAATAATAACGGAAGCTAAAAAAAAACAAGTTTATACAAATGTCTGCCTAAATAAATTAAAAAAAAAAAAAAAATCACTTTTTACAAGAAATGCTTAAGTAAAAAAAAACTACTAATACAGCAAAATCTGAAAAAGTACTGATTATCCTACAATTCAATCTACAATTTTTTGGTGCGTCCTCTCATATACTGGTAAATTACAAAATTTACTTCTAATGTAAATATCACAGTAAATAATACAACGCAGTGCACAGCCTCGTACAATATCTTTGGAGAGAAAACCGTCCACAAACTGATGTGAAAGCGTAGTACCGTCATTACGACCATGTACAATGATATCGGGACTATTCTCCAAAAGACGTATTGCTTGCACAATGATAACGCAGTCTTTGATGTCCTGTAACATAATACATTCACAAGTATATTAATTTGGATGTTTGCATCAATTAACTTGAATTTTCATAGACTTACAATAAGGGGCTGTGAAGTGCATGGTCACAAAGGTACATTAAAAAACCTAAAACCTGAGCCGAATACGTGTTTACGATTAAAAAGAAGCCAATGATTACGGGTTGATATGATTCCAAGCCAATGTAACCAGCACCTACATCGATAGTGGACAAACTATTGGAGTTGCCCTAAAAATAATTAATTCGTGTCTGATAATTGGAAAAATGTTCAAATAAAGAGAGAAGAAAAAAAAATAGCCACTCACTTGGTAAAAATAAAATACATTGCTCGACCAAAAGTACAAGTAAACCTTGATGTTGAAATATTCACTGCTTTTGGTCAAGTCGTAAATCATAGCTCCGACTATCAACTGTACTGGCACTAAAATTACGTTGTACGGACGGTGCAAAAGGCAGGAAATGATTACCCATAATTTTAATATGGAAAACAAGGTGATTGGTAAAAAATTTTGATTATTTTGGCGAGCTACTTTTGCCAATCGATGAATACTGAATAGTACGTAGATGAATGTGAATGCCCAGTAACAATGTATCTCAACAATTCCCCTGAAAAAAAATAAATAAATAAGTAAATAAATTATTTGGCAATTAATAAATGCTGTTTTTAACTTACCGTGAATCGTCATAAAAATTAGGTCTATAAACCAAATTGGCGACGGCGTGCCGCAAATATACAAGAATCGCGAGAACAACGTCCAACAGGACAAAGACTAGTCTAGAGCCTTTCTGCTCGTAGCAAAAATCGAGCCCGACCAGCAAACCAAGGGCAAAAATAAGGATGAAAGTCATGGCGAAACTGGACTCGAGATTTTGGAGCCAGTCTGATATGTCGTCGGTTCCCGCCGATCGGCCGCTACAGCGGTTCAACTCTTTCAATACTCGATGGGTTAACATCAGTATCAACAAGGGTATTGGCAGTCTCATTGCTTTTTCTCTAGCGTTTCTACGTATTATCTTACAAGCGAAGAGTGTCATCAGAGTTATGAAGTAATAATACCAGACCTGATGCTCTTCTTCAACAAAACTACTGCTACTCAAGCTGATGGCTTGCACCAGCGATGCTATTGGTAACAACGCTTCCAATGTACTTATATTTTTTAACTGAAAATTAATACAAGCATTTGAGCACGTTAAACAGATTTCTAACGCATACGTATATTATTCACATGTTTATTTACCTTGAAAAATTGTAAAGTGCGAGTTGCACATAGATAACAATTGAATACTAGTATTGCAAAGATGCAAATGTTAAGGAATAGATAATGAGAGTCGAACATATGAAGTATCGTGGCAGTTTTAGTTTCGGAGCCAAAAAGGTAATTGAGAATCACCCAAGCTACGTAACTACCGGCAAAAATAGTTAAGAATTCTAATAGTGCTATAGTCGAAGGCCTTTCTATGGATATTCCTATGAACAGTATCTGCAATTTGATGCACGATTATTATTTAAGTTGGGAAAAATTCTTTAGACAATTACTTTAGGTGTGTACACTTACGTGAGCCATAAATATTATTGCTATACTTATCGTATGAATGTCATACTTAAGTAAATTACTCGTAAGTTTATTCTTCATATCCGACATGGCAGATTCGTACATATTAATGATATCATAAACCATATCGTTGGGATGACTCTGTGTGTTGAGCCATGCCGAGTGAAGTTTTATTGCATCTCGATAAGTTTTGTAAGTATCTGCAAACAATTCATCAGTTCACTAAGATTTCTACAATCAGTTGAAGATAAGAGTGCCATTTTTCACCCACCAGTATTGTTAAAATTACTAGTTTTGCTAAATTGAAGAAATAGATGCTGAGCGTTATAATACAAAGCGAAGAGTTTTTGAGAAAAAGTCAATTCACTAATCATGTTCAGGACAATAGTTCCCAAACTTGATTTTGGTATAGGAATCCCTAACAGGACTGATAAAGTTGGTGCTATGTCTGTCTGATCTATCTCGTCGTCTAAATTTTCTTTGTATGTACATGGTCTGCCAAATGCTAATAGAGGCACGCGAGTTTCTTCCGGGGTTGATCCACCATGGCCTCCTGACTCTTTCATTCCGTGATCACCAGTCACCAAAAACAATGTTGATTCTCCTTTTTCGTTCTACAATTAAACGGGAGATTTTCCAAATGTTGTATCAAAATATAAATACATGCTTGTATCAAAATATTTACCCATTTCGACACGTAGGTGTTAATTGTGTCGATTATCTCGTCCATTTCCAATAATTTAGTTTTAATCATAGGATTATACGACTCAACTAGGTGACCAATGTGATCGAGTCCTAGGTAATGTAAAATCATTACAGACCAGTCTTTTTCGTAAAGTTCTATGGCAATGTTTCTAGTAACATTAAAATCTACCTGAAAATACAATTATCGTTATTTTTTTTTGCAAACAACTTTGTTCAACGTAGATCATGATATTACATCAAAACTCACTTCAGTGTAATCAGAAACGAAAAAGGAAGATGTGTCTTCGTATCTATAAAACATACGTGGAAAAAGTTTTATCCACGTGTCGTCACCATAAAACACTATTTTGTGCCCTTGATCTTTACATTGTCTTAACAGACTATCACCTTTTATCTCGTGGGCTCCTAAATTTAAAACTACATCTATAAAATTAGGCACTGATCCCGTTGCGATTTCCTACAATGACAAAGCAAATAAAACGATTACACGAATGTTGAAAAAAAGAGAGGCAAAAAAACGACTTACCTTAATTCTTGGCATTGTGACTGTTGGCGTGTGAACTTTTGTCTTGTACAAGCAGCTGGCTTCCGTGTTTCTCAAAAGGCGAGTTGTTTTAGGCATATTCTGACTACTTTGTGCTCCGTGAACGAAATCCCATCTTAAAGCATCTATTACCATGATTATCAGTCTTTTAACTACTGGTTTGTAAACTTCGTCAACCTTGATTCTGAAATGGCAAATAATAGTAATAATAGTAAACAAGTGTCACACAAAATAACACACATACTCAATGGAACGTAATAATGAGCATACCTTGTGCGTTCAACAAACTTTGGAATGTCTTTTTTGGAAGCTGTTTCAACTTCGTTGTAAGTGATTGGAAAAAATCCATAGAGAAAAAGTATGATGGAAAACACGGAAACTATGATCACGTAGTTGAATACAATGTATTCTCTGTAAGAGTTGGCGTGAGAGCGAAAAACATGCTTGTGTACTGAAAAAAAGGAAAAAAAAAAAAATATATGAAAATATTGTACGTTCACCCAATTGGACGTATATATAGGCAAAAAGTTTCATCTAACCTGTGCATCTTTTGAACTGCTTCATTTCTCTTGGTTGCTATTATGTTGTTGTATGACGAATCGATATGGTGAAGTAAAAGAGCAAATCAAGTTAAAAAAAAAAAAAAAAAAAAAAAAAAAAAAAGAGTCACCAAACAACGACAGCCGCAGCAACGCACTGCTGCGCGAAAAGAGTTTCATGTGGAATGAGTGTGTACGTGATGGACATTGTACAACGTATTTTATTATCGAAGAGATAAGAAAAGTTAAGACGGAAAAGGGTGTATTATTTTGAAGTTGGATAAAAGCGGAGCAGGTGAATTGACTAGATGGAATCGGAGCATGTTAGTTTATCTTGGTGGGATAAGACAAAAGATAGAAAGAGGGCTCACATAAACGATAACATTGATAACAAGAGAAGAGAGAGCACTGAGCACTGATATGATAGCGCATGCAGCAGATGACACTCTTTTCAGAGTATATATACATATTATTATTTAGACCACGCTTCATACGATATGTATCGAAAGTAATCGATAGACTCGAGCTCGAACTTGTATCGATCATTTTATCGTCTGCTACAAAAATAATCAACAAAAAAGGCGGGGATTGTTTTTTTTACATAGGAAAAAATTAATTGTTTAAAAACCAACGGTTGAGAAAAACTGCAAAGAGGTAAACAATCTTCGGAAATAATTCATAACGATTTATTCATTAGTCGGTATAAAATCCGCTACATACACGTACAATAATTTATTGGTAGAAGCTTACAAAACTATTGCCCAAAAAAGGTATTTGCTAGACGGAGCTGGTCTAGAAAATTAAAAACGAAGTAAATGTAAATTGCATAAGTATATATTTATAGCATAAAAAAAAGATGTACAAAAATCATAGTGAAAATATTATTAAAAAAGAAATAATTAAAAACGAATTGTTTAACTGTAATCCATGAAACTTCTGTAGTGTCCCTTTAACAATTTTCACCACAAATATTTGCCTCGTGTCGATTATTACGATTATTAGATTTAACGAAAAAATTGTTGTACATTAATAAAAGGTACCGTCTGATTATTGAGGTAATTATTTCTAATCCACTCCTAACTGTACATTTTGATAGTTATTTAAACATATATATTTAACATATACTATTANCCAAACGCACGTACCACAATATCGGCTCTTTGAGCGCGAAAATCGAGCGGTACGCCGATGTGCGCGACAACTTGAAAAACCCGAGGGCGGTACTGTTGGCGATAATTTTTCAAAAGTGAGTGAAGGAGAGAGAGAGGCGTATACAGGGGGTGAGAAAATATCGCTACTCTTGATTGGGTTTACTTTTGCAGTCTCGAGTACGATCCCAAGGCGCTGGACGGGGAGAACAAGAACCTCGAACACTTCAACGCTTTCGCCGTCGAAGCTGGCATACCACCTGTAAATATACATACACTACGTTGTTTTTAAATTTTACGGACAATTTAAAAAAAAAATATTTTTGTCATGTAAAATAGTGACAAATGAAATCGTTCTTCTTTCGCATTGGTGGAAGAAAAACAGTGGCTTGATTTAACGACACGCACTTGTCATTCCAAGGAAGATGATTATTTTTTGATTTATAAAAAAAAGTAAAAATCTTCTCGAATCAGAGTAAAAATTAATTTTAAAGGAGGCTCATTTTTTTTTTTTTTAGTTGGGTTACTTGTTTCTCCATTTTTTTAATATATGTTTGATTTGTTCTTTATTTTGAAGCTGTTTTGAGGTGCTAACGTTTTTAGCTTACAATAAACAGCCTTAGATTTTATGATGAATGTATTACTCATATCTTTGGGGATTACTACTTATCTTGTTTTGACGTTGGGGCCTCAGTTATATTTTTTAAGTTACGCTATCAGAAGTGTGTGTATACTGTATACGAATATTTCATTAAAAATTAGATATGTTCTGTTCACCCTCAACTCAATCTTAAAGACAATAACTGCAAAATGGAGTATTACCTAAGACAAATGATGAGGTGTGCTAAAATTTTTTTGGATCAGTTGAAGCGTCAACTATGATATAAATCGAGCTCGGGGTGATTTTTTCTTTTTTTATTTTATGTAAAAACTATCTTTTATCAAGTTATTTAATTGGTGTAATTAAAAAAATAAGCACAGATATACATATCATCAACAGTTTATTAAAACTTTATGAAATTCGGTAAAATTTTTATTCATACTAGAACTTCTTTAAGTTGATTAATATCTCGAATACTTGGGAAGTTTGGCACCGACGACTTAATACGATTCAATTCAATGCAGGTTTAATACTTGTTTTCTTTTGATTCTGGTGACAAAAAAAAAAAAAAATTTTTATTCC